GGTCAGGGCGCCCCCTGGGGCGCGGGTCAAGATCTGGATGCGCGACCTGCGGCGCTACTTCCACCAGGAAGGGCTGGCGCAAGCGCACGGCACATCCGCCTGTGCCTGATCCGCGGGGAGGAACTGCCCAGGTTCCCCCCTTCCACCGCGCCGCGCCCGTGGGTTTCGCGCCGTCGGCGGGCCGCGCGCAGGCAGCCTCCGACGCTGCCTTCCTGAAGGCTTGGCTGCCCCGAGACCGCATGGTGACCTTCGACGAGCCATGCCCGACCGAGCTGCCGATCTGGGGGCCCATCGCGGACGACCTGTGGGCTCTGGGCGAGCGTTCGGCGGGGGGGCGAGCCCGCAGCTCAGCGACGTTCTGGGCGGCCAAGGCTGAGCAGGATCGGGGCCGAATGGGCATTCCTGCGCATCGCGGGAAGTCCGAGGATGGCGGACAGGGCGAGTTCCAAGGGACCGAGGTGCACCCTATTCAGCACTGGTAGGGCGCGACTCGTCGGCGGCGGCTCGACTTCTTCGCCGCCGTCCTCACCCCCCCGGGCCAGCAGGTGGTCTACCGCGAGGCCGTGGAGGGCTTGGTGGGCAAGCGCGGGCGCTGCCAGAGCTTCCGCTCTTGCCTACGCTCGATTCTCTCTTGCATGTATACTTGGCTGGAGAGTTTGCCGCTGGGGGGCCGCAAGCCTGTGGCCTGGTGCCCGCTGGCGCGGCACGGGCTGCTGCTGCAAGAGGCGCGCGAGGCAGGCCCTGTGGTGGCTGCGGTGGCCTACAACCCCGTCGTCGATGCCAGCCACAACCTCGCGCGCGCCAGCTTGGTGCAGGAGCTGGGGGGGGCTATGCAGCAGTGGTGACTTGATGGGCTTTTTCGCGGGGCCGCCCAGCTCGACGGTGAGCCGCGCCGGGCGCCGCCCGCCCGCTGGGCGCCAGGGACCGAGGCTGCGCGCGAGAAGCGAGCCGTTCTTTCCTTTGCCAGGACTGACGGACACCGAGTGCCGATCTTGCCCACTGGGAACGCACCACTTCCTCCTCTGCCTCGAGCTCTTCACCCGAGTCATCCTTGGCGGGGATTGGGCTGGCCAGGAGCACCCTCGGGATCCAGGGCGCCAGCCGCCCCCCTCGAGCTGGTGCTCTCGAGAGGTCACAGAGTGGATCTCAGAGTTCGGGCTGCGCATCGTTTCGTTCGATCAATGTCGACGCGGAGCCTCGTCGCAGAAGCCGACGTCCATTGTCGCGAATGACGCGCAGGCCGGGGGAGTTCTTGGGCATCGCTGCAATCTTCGACATCGGCATAAAAAGGAGTTTATGGGCTAGCACGCGGCGGGGGGTTCGTCACAGTTCAGCTCGCTCGGTATCCTCCGCAGCTGTGCCAGGCTCTGGCTCGGCCGGCGGTCGGCCCCTTGGCGAAGGCCCAGGATCGGCCGCGCCATGGGCGATGATCCTGGCAGGCGCCGCGGGCGCATCATTACCTCTTTGATGAGTGCGCTCAAGCCAGTGACCATCCAGAGGCACGCCGCGGCCCTCATCGATTTCAGCTCTGATCTCAAAGCGCTGGGCCTGAGCGTTGAGCAGCTCGCCGAGGAGGGGCTCGACTGGCCCGTGGCCGATCGCGTGGTGGACTTGTTTGAGGGGTCTGGCGGCGTCGAGGGCTTGGGGGCTGCCTCTACGCTGCTGGCCTCGCTCGCGAAGGCGAATCCTCGGCACCGCTGCCGCGCTGCGTGGAAGGCGCTGGACGTGCGGCGCACTCGGCGGCTGCTCGCCCTCGGGATCGCGAACAGGCTCGTGTTCGCGGGGGAGTTCGGCTGCGCCGCCGCCGTGCTGCTCTGTTTCGCAGGCTTGTTGCGAGCCTCAGATGCGCCGCTGACGCTGGCCGGCGGCACCTGGTCCAGGACCGCCGTGGGTTTCGCGACCTTGCTCGGCCGCGCCAAGCGCGGAGCTGAGCAGAAGGTCTTTTTGAGGAGCCGTTCGTCGTAGCCTGGTTTGATCACTACTGTTTGCGTTTTCCCCCGAAGGTAGGCGACAATATTTGTGCTGCGTCGCATCCTCGGCTGCAGCGCTGGCGCCAGAGAGGCGCGGGCGCGCTGGGGTTCGGGGCCGCGCGCTGGACAGCGCACGGGCTGCGCCGAGGAGGGGCCGCCGAGCTGCTGAGCCGAGGCGTTCCATTGGCAGACGTCACGTTGTTTGGCAGGTGGTTCTCTGAGAGGTCGGCTCGAGAGCACCTGCGTCGAAGGGGATGGGCCTCGCCAGACTGCGTGTAGATATCTATGCGAACTCCTGGTCTCTGGACTACCGTTACTGCGCAGTCGGATCCCATGTGCGGAGTGTGGTCTGACTGCAGAGTGCGTCCTTTGCTTGGTCGAATGAAGAGCGTTCGCTGGAATGCGGAGTGCCGTGGCGTCTCGATTCCCTTTGAAGGAAGTTTCTCATTTATTCTTGCACGCTTCGCGTGCTGCCTCCCCTGGTAAGTGTCGGAGAGTAGGATGTAGATGGCTGCCCTAAATAGTCGGAGCTTGCAAGATGGTTTTCGGAATGCCGGTTGTCTCATCTAGCCTCGTCTCGACATCAGGACAGCGTCTGTGCATGCTGTTATTGTAGCCCTGCTGCGCCCCCGCCCACCCGCGGCGGTCCTATACTCACCATTGGAGCGCGCAGGGTCAATGCAATGCTTTGAACGGCGAGGCATTGGCCTACCCAGGCATACGGCCGAGTTGCCATGGCGCCTCGACTCCCTTTCGATGAAGTTTGTCAGTTATTATTGCACGTTTCGCGTGCTGCTTCCCCTGGAAGGGGTCGGAGAGTAGGATGTTGGTGGCGTTCCTATATATATACACATACATGGAAACACACGAGACTGAAGACCAGCAACAGCCTCGCTCCCGCAGAGGGGGTGCGGACGTCGCAGAGGCCTCCCGGCGGGTTCCGCAGGCCCTGGAAGAATAATGGTTTGATCGCAAGAGGCGGGGGGGGGGGGCAAGCAGTGGCGAAACGTTTTGGCCTGCCTGTGCGCCCGCCAAGGAGCGCTCGAATAACTTTGCGTGGATTGCCCACAATGTCATGGAAACGTTTCTGGTTGATACTGCCCTGCGCTAGTAGTCGGCTTTCTGCTATGAAAACATGGGTGCTGTTCTTAGAGCCTTTTCTTCGTTCTGAGACCACTTCGCGGTATGCCCATAGGAATGTCAGGACATTCGGTTCCTGCTCAAACGGGGGCCAGCGGACTGTAGCGGGCTCAAAACAATTTCTGTGGCGAAACCTCGTCTTCCGCCGTCTCTGCGCCGCCGCCGCCGCTGGCTGCCGATGTGCCGCATTGCGCTTCCATAGCTATTTCTTTGTGATCAAGTGGGCATCGTGGGCCCACCCTCGCGCGGGGAGAACGGAGCGCGTGGTGGGTCGTCGCCGCATCGCCGTCTTCCTTTCCGTGCATATATCACGCGCGTAACGGCTTAGGCTTAATGGACAGTGCCGGCATGTCGTTGCGTGATGTCCACGGTAACTATTGAGGAGGCCGATTTTGCATTATGATCACACCCCACACTTGGTAGGGACTGCGTTCCCTTGGCGAAGAACTATATTGGAAATCGAAAGCGCCCGCGGGGGGGCCTTTGCCCCCGGCCTTTTAGAGGCGCCTGCGCGGCCAAGCGTTCGGCCATTGTTTGGCCGCGCGATTGGAGCATGCGCCCCCCCAGCTGGAGCGGGCCTTCCCGGGGGGGGGGGGGGGCGTTGTCGGCGGATGGAGCGACGGGAAAAGGGCGCTCGAGAGGCGGCATGGGGAAGAACGCGTTGCCTGCGAATGTTTGGGGCATTCCAGGGCCCCTCTTGAGGCCCGCGGGGCCTCATTGGACCCTTGGGGGCGCTCCTGGCCCGCCACCTCGACCGCGGGCCGCCGCCCCGAGCAGTCTTGTCGAGCATGCTCCAGACGCGCCGCCGACAAATAATATGGACCCGACGGTCTTGTTGGGCCGCGCGTTTTTCCCCCCATCGCGCAGGCTTTTTCGTTGAGCAGAAAAATGTATAGGTTTCCTTCGTATTCGTTTCGTCTTGATTTGCCCAGCGTTCTCCCAAAGTGTTCGGCAAAGACTCGGCGTGGCAAGAGTTCGGCCCATCGTTTGGTCACGCAGGCGTTTCCAAACAATTGGGGCAGCGGTGGTTCGCCGCATGCGACCTCTACCTTTTTCGAAGCGTTCGCACGATAATTCCAACTGCCCTTTTTGCAAGGGGCTGGGCCTGTTTCGCCACCGCGCAAGGGTCGTGATCCAGTGGGGGGTTTATGCGATATCGAGACGGCTTTTAGGGGGTTATCTTACGGAACGGTCGGGCCCGCCTGGGGACATCTTCTGGCCTGAAGGCCTCTGGGGGGTCCTTGAAACACTTTGGAAGGCTTCGTCTCCAGAGTCGCAGCGTCGGCGCGCTTTTTGAGGGGCCTCTCGGGGTCGTTTGGGACGTATCCTCGGCCATCATCCGGGGCCTCATGAGCCATCGCGGGCCCGTTTCGGTGGTTATCCTGGGCCGTGTTGGGGCTCAGGCCCTCCTACGATAAAGTATGGAGGCAGTGTTGGGATCGCGCAAGCAGCCAGAGGGTTTCATATTGGTTGCGGGTATGCGGCGGACCCCCAGGACCTTCAAGATCGCCCGAGAGACCCGCAGAATTTCCCGAATGGGCCGACGCTGGGGTCCTGGGAGGGTTTTGCCGGGCCCTGGGTGACCGAAGGGTGGAGGAGAGACAGCACATAGGGCGATATATATATAGGGCGCGCGGGCATATCGGTCCCCCTACCTTTCTTCTTAACTTTATCACTGAATTACTCACTTACAATGTAACGAACCCTCGCATAATGCATCTGTATATGTACGCACATATACATCTGAGAGCAGATGCGTGTGTCTACGCATACGCCCATCTCCCCATCTGACTTGAATACCAACCAAGCAAAGCAAAACTTGCACGCGCGTGCTTTTCAGATTCATGCGCACTCAATCAGAGCAAGCGCGAGCGACTCAGGCGCCCCCCATCAGACTGAACTGCCGACGCCTAATCGAATCAGTTGCGCGCGGCCCAAGCCCCCGCCTGCCGCGGCTAACCCCAGCATCACGTCCGCCATCGTGTCCCCTGCGTTCACGTAGTATGCGTGCTCGTGCATGTCCAGCTCGGAGATTTTCAGGGCGTTGTATCGGACGCGGGACCAATGCTTCAAGCGGTTGTTCTCGCTCTCAATGTCATTGGAATGCCACCCCGTCTCCACGTCGCGCCACCCGACGTCGTGGACCATGGGGGGCACGTGTATGAAACCCAAGTCCTGGGCCGCCTTCAGCGAGCTGAGCCAGCCATCGAACACCAGGATGTTTTTTTTCGCCACGTGCTGCTCGATGGTCTTGCGAATCTCCTCGAAGCCGCGAGGCTTGCTCTTTTCCGCGTTGTAGCGGGATGGAAGGAATCGCCACGCGAAGCGCTTCTTCCCGTTGCCGTGCGTCCACTTCTCCGTCCCCTTGCCGACGGAAACTGCTGCCCACAACCAGCGGCCGTTGGAACGGGGATCAGCGCTCGTGCCCCGCACTCCCCCGCGCGCGGCTGGCCGCTTCATGATCGTCTTCTTCACTTTCATGGCAGCGGGGCGTCTCTTGACGACGTTCTTCTTGCCTCTGGTTACCCCCGCACTCTTCATCGGCTCGTCGCCCTTCCAGATAGTCCGCGCGGGGGGCGCCTTGGCAATGCGCGCGCGGACCTTGGGCCGCGACCGTGTGCCAGAACGTGCACGTGGAGCCCCTTTTCGAATTCCCTTGTGAGTGAGAGACTCAAAGCCATCGTCGGGGTGGACGCCGACGACTGTCTCGTCCATGACGACCACGTGGTTCGGGCCGCCGATCTTCATCAAGTCTAACTTCTCGTTGGCCTTCTTCAGCTCCCCCTGGTACATGTCCTTCCACCTGCGGAAGTTCTTGTCACTGCAGTTGCCCCACGCGGCCCGCAGCTCCGCGTGCATCTTATGCAGGGGGGTGCCAGAACGCAGAAGCGCGATGAAGTTCAGAAACGTCATCCACGACCCCACTTCCACTTTCTTGAGAATGCCGACGCCGGCGACTGCCGCGTCGTAGTGCTTGTGGCCATGGGACGAGCAAGCCCATTTGAAGCGAACCTTGCCGTTGTCGGAGCGCCAGCTTTCCTCCAGCACCGCGGGGGCGTCGCGCACGGGGCACTTCTTCACGACATTGACCAAGCCGTAGTGCGCAAAGATGCCCATGGCCCGCACCTCCACGGTGTCCGTCAGCGCCTCGGGGAAGTCAACCTTGGCGTAGACAACGTTGGCGAGGAAGGCAGTCTGAGTCTCGAACCACTCCTCGCGGACGGCCCGCTGCCATCGATTGAAGGGCAACGTGGGCGGGGGGGCCCCGACGAGGCCTGGCGCGCGCGCGAGCCGCCCCATCCCCGCGGCGGCGCGATCGGCCCTGAGCGCCCGGAGCGATCTCGCGCTCTGAGAACGCCGCGCTTCGGGCCAATGCGGCGGCGGACACCGGCAAATTACAATCGATCGCTGGAAGGGCCCACGGGGGATCGCACCATGATGGGACATGACCTTTTTTGGCTAAGCGGGCCCGACAGCGCATATATGATTGCAAGCGCGTCCCCCAACGGTCTGGATGAAATCTAAAGACGTGTATGCATCGAGAAGAAAACTATATATGTGCACGGCTATGAAGCGCGCTATCGGCTCATCTGGGGCACCAGCGGCGCGCGCCCCCTCGGCGGCGCGCGCCCCGTCATTGCCCGAGCCGAAAGCGGCAACACTGCCCGCGCATTGGCACCCCACTCACAGAACACCTCACTCCTCCGTGGCGTCGCCCTGGCCCGCGGCGTCCTCTGCCGCTTGATTGCAGGCTTCCTCCGCTAGCTGGCGCTCGAGTTCTTCCTCCATGTCTAAGTGGCGCTCGAGCTCGGCCTGCAAGTCGAAGTCGTCGCCCGCCGTGTCAGGGCGCTGACGGGGAGGAGTGGTGAGGTCCATCTGCGTGCCAGAGTCAACCTGGTTCTGGTTGAAGAACGCCCGCTGGATCTGCTCGTAGATCGCGGCCTGCTCAGCCAAGTCCACGTCGCCGAGCTCGCCGCCGCACCCGAAGGGAGCCCTGGCGCCCGTCGCCAGGCGCTTGCGGGGAGGCGACATGAGGTCCACCAACGCGCCGCTGTCCTTCTTGTTGCCCTCGAAGAATTGTTCCTGCATCGCGGCGTAGATCGCCTGCTGCTCCGCCGCATCCACGTTGCTCAGCTCGCCAGCGCACCCCGTGCCAGCGACCGCAGACGGCCCTGACAAGCCGCTCGAAGAAGCCGCGCCACTGCCTGAACCGCCCACTGGCGGTGGCACGACCGCTGGCTGGACGCTATGCACGGGCTGCCCGAAGAGCGAGGCACCGCGGGTGATCGACACGGTGGGCACGTCCTCGCCACGCATCAGGCGCTTCGCGAAATTCAAGGACCACTCCGCCTTCTCCTTGAAGTCGGACGGGTAGTTGTTCGGAGAGGTCGGGTCGTCCTTGTACCTGCCGAAGCACGCGCGCGCCTCGGGCGAGTAGTTGAAGAGGTCAGGCTTTGACTTCTTGCTGTATGTGTAAAAGGGCACGACGCCGTCCTCTGGAAACTCATCTGATGCCAAGCGGAAGTACACGCGGGCGTCCGTGGTCACGACGATGTGGGACCTCGCGAGCAGGGCCTTCATGTCCTCTTCCTCTGTGATCTGCTTCAGGGAGGGCGCGATGAGAGTCATGAACTGCTGGATCGTGATCTCCATGGCTTTCCCCTGGCGCCATTCTGCCACCAACCGCTTCTCCAAAGCATTGTCGTAGCTGTTGTTCACGGCCTGGCGGGACGCCCCTGGGGCGAACGTGCTGGACCCCCCACCTCGCCCACAGCGTGGAATCCTCCTCGCTCGGGTTGAGGAAGGCCTTCAGCACAGACGCGTCCTGCTTGTGCAAGTCCCCATCGTCGAACACCGCGGGCAGCACCCTCTCCGCGGGCTCGCCCTTGAAGAAATCAAAATGCTTGGCGGTGGCAATTGAAGGCTCAGGCGCGCCCTCCCTGTCATCGCCCCCAAGGGCATCGATCTCGATCATGGACATCAAGAACGCAAGTGTCTTCGACGCCGTCGACTTCCCCACCCTGGTCTTGCCGATCCAGAGCACGCCGTTGCGGCGGAGAGTTGGCAGGATCTTCACGAGCACCTCGTTGATGAACCACGGCTCGAAGTCCTTCAGCGTGAGCACCCAGACAGAGAGGCGCTTGGCGTTGATGCGCCCGCTCGCGTGGTTCCGCAGCGCCTGGGCCACGCGGGACTCCTCCCAACCGTAGATTTTCGACTGCGGGTCGTTGATCTCCTGGGGGCGGGGGAACAACGGCACTGCTTGGCTAGCCGCAATCGCTCGGCGGTCAAAAGGCCCGCGCGGCCGAATATGGGGGTCGGGGGAGAGGGGGCAGTGCGGCTAACCAGGTTGCGCCGTGTTCCTCGGCCCTGCTGTCCTTGTCCGCGAACTCCATGAACTGATTGCGGTTGTTGCTCTTCGGGCCCTTCTTCTCGATGTAGCGGTACCCTTCCTGCTTCTTATCCCACCTTGTCGTGCGCTTGGCAGGCTTTGCCGTGGCGGTCAGCGTGGAGAAGCGAATCTGTAGGCCGCCGAGCTTCTCCAGGTGGTAACAGATCGCATTGCGGCCTGCTCTGCGCTGGTTCCCATACTGATACACGACGCCCGTGCCATGACACATGGGCTCGCAGTTGGCCATCTTCAGGAACTGGCCCTTCAGGTCAACGTCCTTGAAAATGTTCACTTTGCCATCGCCAGCGCCCACGACGAAGATCTGCATGACGTACGGCCCACCAGGTTGGCTCTTGAGGTTGAACGGTGGAGGGAGGCCACTGAAATTGGACTTCGTGGCAAGGTCCTTGACCACGTCCAAACGGCACGGTTGCCCTTGGGGGTCCTTCCAGTCAGTGAGGACACCGACCGTTTTCCCGTCAGTGCCCGTGATCTCCCCGTAAGCCTGGTTCATCAGCAGGTCCCCGAAGTAAGAGATCTTCGTGCCTGCGTGGACGTTCATGGGCGCAGCAGGAAGATCCGCGATCTGTGATAGCCCCTCTTGCCCTACGTGGCCGTGCGGGAGGCCAGCGTGGAAGTGGAGCTTCATGCCGTCGGCGTGCGCGAGGGCCTCGCCGAAATTGATGCTCTCGTCCCCGACGGCGTCCCCGAGAGTTTCGCGGAGGGTCTTGGGGAGGATCGCGTTCTCCCTCGCCATGGCAGCCGCAAGAGAGAAGAGTCGGCGCGAGAGGCGCGTGCGATCAAGCAGCTTGAGCCGATCGGGCACTACGGAACTCCTTGTAGGGGCGGCGGGCAGAAGCTTCATAGTGTGCTGCCCCATAAAAGCAAAATGTCGGCGTCGGTTCCCTGTGGGATGGCAAGGGCATCCCGTTTTAGGATGCCCTTGTATATGATGGGGCTTTGGATATGGTTATCGTTCTGGCTCTGGTTCTGGCTCTGGTTCTGGCTCCGGTTCTGGTTCTGGTTCTGGTTATGGCTTTGGTTCTTGTTCTGTCTCTGGTTCAGCTTCTGGTTCTGGCTCTGGTTCTGGCTCAGGCAGTAAATCACGTGCAGACAAACGGCAGTGTTTTCGGGCGCGGAGGTGGGAACGCATTTTTTGGGTTCCCCGTTGTGCTGTGCTATCCGATCGGCGCTACTGTCGTCTGTCTCATCTGAGCTGGGCTGAGCTGTTCCACAAAGGCCACGGCGGAACCCGCTGCTCGAGGGAAGTTTGGGCCAGGGCGGCTACGGCGTCGTGATGAATAGGGAATTTAAGTGGAGGAGGAGGAGGAAGAGGAGGAGGCGCCCTGGTGGTACGGATACCAATGCCTCCCTTGATGCGCTGCTCCTCCTCCTCCTCATCGTCGTCCTCCTTCTCCTCCTCATCATCATCATCACCATCATCCCTCATTCCTCTCTTTCTCCTCCTCCTCGTCCTCCTCCTCCTCCTCCTTCTCCTCCTCCTTCTCCTCTTACTCATACTCATCCTCCTCCCCATCACCAAGGGCGTCCAAAAAAGGATGCCCTCAACGTTGCGACGTTTGGGGCGCCCCAAACACGGGTGCCGTCAAACAGTGCGGGGCGTTGCTTATAAGGGGCATCCTAAAAAGGGATGCCCTCAACGACGAAGCCAAAGCACGACCCAGAGGAATCGCACGTATGCGTCCCAGTGGATAGGCGCCGAAGCACGACCCAGAGGAATCGCACGTATGCGCCCCAGTGGATACGCACCGAAGCACGGCCCAGAGGAATCGCACGTGTGGGGGGCACGAGGGGACACGAGAGGAACACGAGGGGGACACGAGGGGGCACGAGAGAGACACGAGGGAACAGCAGGGGGCACGAGGGGACAGCAGGAGCCCCGAAGGGCTCAGCGCTACTGGCACGAGCCCCGAAAGGCTCAGCGCCGCAAGTACGAACCCCTCCCCTGACCTCTTCCACGAGACTCCTCTCCTGCTCTTCCTCCTCCTCCTCCTCCTCCTCCTCCTCCCCCTCGCCCGCCCAATCAGAATGGCCTCTCGGAGCCGAATCATTGAAACCATAAGAAAAACCAAAAAAAACAATAAAAGCAATAAAAGCAATAAAAACAATAAATGCAATGTTTCGCAAGGATTCGCCTCGCTGTCTGTACTATCCCAGAACATTGCTTTTATTGCTTTTTTTTGCTTTTATTGTTTTTTGTTGTTTTTTTTGGTTTTCTGCGTCTCTGCTCTGGAGCAGGAGTTTTGCTTCTCTGCTTCTGTGCTCTGGAGTTGGCCTCTCAGGCGGGAGCAACACAACACAACACAACTGCAAACCACAACACAACATCATACAACAGAAGAGTACGCATGCAATCACAACATAACATTCTACAACTTCGGGGCAGGAACACCAGGGGGACCGATATGCCCGTGCACCCATATATATGTAGAGAGAGAGAGAGAGAGAAAGAGAGAGAGAAAAAAAGAGAGAGAGAGAGAACAACAAAAACTGAGGGCCAAGGTTGGCCCCGAGGTTGGCCCCAAGGTGGATTGGCTCCGGGTGCCCTCCTCCACGTCCTCGTCCTTCCCGCCCTCCAGCCCTCCCGCCCGCCCGCCCTCCCTCCCTCCCTCCCTCCCCACCTCCCCCCCACATAGGACGATATAGGCACCAACCAGGCAGAAGTGAGCATAATGAGACAGCCACGTGCCGACGCAAAGGGGGCGGCGGATATTTCTTTCCGCCGAGGTTGCAGTGTGTGTGTGTGTATGTGTGTGTGTGTGTGTGTGTGTCCGCCCGCCTTCTGACAGTCGTTGAGCGTTGTCTGGCCACCCAACACGTCAATACAGACATGTTCGTTCGTTGTATTTGGCTTTTGCCCCAGGGGTGGATCGTGCCGATGTTCAGGATGGTGAAAGAGTGGATGACACGCAAGCGGACGGCCCCCGACATCTGGTCGCAGGGCTGGAAAATCCGCGCGGTGAAGTAGATCCCTTTCTGGCTCCCCCTCTGAGATACCCCCTTTTCGGGGAAGGGAGGGGGGGCGAGCGTCATGGTTGGAGTTGGCCCCACCGCGCATCTTTCTGACCCCAGGCCGTTCTTCACCAGGTCGGAGGGCAGCGGCGAGGCAAGCCTTGTACTCGACGTTAGGGCCACGGGATCGGCAACGCCGATATCGAAGAAGGCGCTGAACGGCGTGCTTTGCAAACCCCAGACAGTTCAGTCCCCTTCCTTGCCGATACATCGAGAGTATAGCACACGGGTGAGTTTGTGAGCACCCGGGAACCCAGCGTGATTCCGAGATCATGGATGATGGAGAGAGCTCCCTCACTCGTGGATCCATTTTGCTGGTCTCCCCCTATCATCGCATTGTTGGCCCTTGTGTCGTTTGGGTTGACTCAGTGGTGCAGTCGACTCGACGTGGAGTTTTCAATCAGTCATTTGCATGTGATTGCCGATTGTAGTATGCTGCTGGTTGAAGTTGCACGTCGCCGTGTCTCTTCTTGTTTCCCCAAACCGCGTTTGCACTGAACCGGAGGGAAGGAAATCGGCACCACCACCAGGGGTGCCACCTCCATCGGGGAGGTCCACGATGTCATCCGAGCTGGAGGGGAGCTGGGGATATCGCGACTGGGGAGGTGGGGCCGCACCGCCAGGAGAGGACCTCCCCCCTGGCCCTCCCCCCCTTCGCCTCCTCCTCCTCCTGCTCCTCCTCCTCCTACCCCTCCTCCGCCTTCTCCTCTTCCTCCGCCTCCTCCCCCTCCCCCTCCTCCCCTTGCTCCGCTGCCCGTGGGCAACCAGGAGCAGGAGGGTGCCAGCTGCCCAGGCCAGTCTCAGGATCGGCGTTTGCACGCCTTCCCGACGGCACCTCCCCCGATCCATGGATTTGGCGACCGCGCGCCGAATCCATGGATTGCTAATCCACGTTTGCGCGCCCCCGAGAGATCCCCCCCACAAAATTTGAGCAGGCGGTGTTTGGGCGGTTTTCGGCCTCCATGGGCCCTCCAGGGGCCGCGGGACCGCAGCAGAACCGAATCAGGACGAGAAGTTGGCCCTCGGGATGTGGTCCAGACCTTGGGGGCCCACGCATGGAACACCTTGGAGCAGCCGGATGTCTGGGTATGACCGTCCAAACTACGTTGTCTGAAAATCTTGTCTCGGGAAGGGGTCCAGACCTTTGGGGTCCACGCCGTGACAAAAGGTACGACACGTCGGAGATCTGGGTTGCACCCCCCCCCCCACCCACACACACACACAGCCCCCTCCTCCCTGGCCTTCCTCCCCTCTTCGTCCCATGCGCCGTCGTGTTGTGGGTCCTCTCCTCTCCTCCTCAGCCTCCCCCTCCCCTCCTCCTGCTCCTCCATACTCATGTTCCTCCTCCTCCTCCTGCTCCTCCTCCTCCTCCTCCTCCTCCTCCTCTTCAGGTACGGTCGCTCCTCCTCCTCCTCTTACCTTCCCCTTGACACTTTTCGCCTTTCAAGGGGCCCTCGCCGGGCCCCAGGACCGTCAAAAAACGATTCGGGAGAAAGTTCGGTCTTGGGGAGGAAGGGATCGTCCGGACCTCCGGGGGTCCACGTTGTAAAACAACCGCGACGTCGGGGTTCTGGACAGATCGGAGCGGTGTATCGCGTGGCATCGCCGATACAGCGGCAGTGCGGCGCGATGTGGAGCCAGATTTTTCCCACGCCGACGTCGCAGTGCATCGCGGCGCGATGGTCCTATCCACTCGGAGCCCGCATGAGAGGCCTTCTAGTAATGGGCACTCACTAATTAGCGAGTGCTCCAGGACCCCGCAGAAGGTTGCCACTTTAGGGCCTCTTTCAGGCATTTAACCAATGCCCGCCTGGGCCGTGGGCGAGCCATGGGCCGCGACTCCCGCCGATGCGAGACGTTTTATCGCGGATGCCCCACGCGGAACATATCCGTTCGAGCGCGTATCCGCGGCGGGATCGCGCCTCAGAATCCAGATCGCGAGGGCGCGGACACACATATGTTTGTTGTCGTGTGCTGGTAAGGGTTAAGTCGGACGTGTCCCTCTACAGGAGGAATATTCAAAAAGTAGTGAAAACAACATTCTGGGGACTATTTCCTGAATATTATTTGGCTATGTTTGAGCTGTTTTGGAGTATGTTTGATTTTTCGCCCAAGATCCGCCTGTAGGGGGGCATGCCCGATCTGATGGTACGGGTTGGGTTCGCTGGGGCGCTGGCCAACGTGCGCGCTCGTGGGGTACAGTCGGCCCGGATTAGTAGGTCAACCGTGCCAAATCAAGGGTTTCTTGTGTCTTATGCATCGCGCGTCGTGTCCTCTGCAGTCTTGGGAAGAGGCCATGTTGGAGGCCATGTTGCAGGCACCCTTGTTGGAGGCCATGTTGCCGTCGGAAGAGTCTTGTGTCCTGTCGCGTGTCCTGTGCAATCAAGCCTGCCTGTACCCGTCACGGGGTAGGCAAGGGATCGCTGACTGTTGGCGGTCACGCCCAGCTGGCCCGCCGAGGGCCTCTCGGCATCAGGGCCCCTTAAGGTAAGTCGGGCCGTGTCCCTCTACAGGAGGGGTATTCAATCATAGCAACAACAAGTCGGGATACGGTGTTTCGAGTATTGTGTGACCAGTTTAGGGTATGCTTCACTATTTTTCATCGTTCGTCCAAAATCCCCCTTTAGGAGGACAGGCCCGACTTAACCCTAAAGCCAGGACTCGGCGGCAAGCGAGGGGGGAAGTGAGAAGGAGAAGGCCTTCTCAGAAGGTTCGGAAGTCCCACTGTTTTTTAAGAAGTGTCCTCATCTCCCGGGAAGACAGAACAACAACTTTTTGAGAAGGCGCGATGGCTTCTGAGAAGTCCCGCCGCCGTCTGAGGAGGCCCTCTCCTCCTCACTTCCCCCCCCCTCGCTCGCCGCCAGAGGACGCTGCAGACCAGGACGTTGACGATGCCGGCTGCACGGGGCAGCGCGATCTGTGCACAGCCACTGCTCCAGACCTGGCCCAGGGAGGGCGAGGCCCGGGGCGGTGGATCTGCACAAAATCACAGGCCTAGAGGTTGACACCAATACCAATGTCGGCTCTGTGCCTCCACCGAGGGAAGCAGATCCCGATCTCGGTGATGGTGGTAATGATTCTTGCTTCCAACGTGACCGGCAGATTGCCACCAACACCGAAATCTAGAATCTGGGATCATCTTCCCCCTGTGGAGGCACCCCCCTGTGCTGGTGCTGGTGCCCATTTCCAGGCCTTCAACAGAAACCCTCGCCCCAGGCTGGAGAGGACGAATCATGTTAAGTCGGGCACGTCCCTCTACAGGAGTAGCATGCGAACAAATAAAAATTACTCCAGGGACGATTTTCGGACTACTTTCAAAAAACATGTTGGGGTATGGTCTGGCTAATTTTTACGTTTCATTCATAATCCGCCTGTAGGAGGAAATGCCCGACCTAAGAATAATGCAGAGCGGTTCGACACACGGTTGTAGTCTCTTCTCGGGCGTTCCGGTCAATGCACCCTTTCCGCACCACCATCCTCGTGCCCTTCTGGTTCTTTTGCCTTGTGTGCACTGTCCGATGTACTGACTGTTTCTCTGCCGCAGCTACAACTTTGGCTCCAGGGAAACGGAAAAAAGAGCGAACCTGCGGTGCGCGCGCGTGCGTCGGCCCGCGGGCCGGCCTCCTCCTTTCAGTGTTACCCTATTGTATTCTGGGCGGGATTATCCATTTTTTCCCATGACATCGGCAGAGCCCACTGACCATGAGATATTACCGGAACATATTGCAGGGATTTTGAATATCCGGGCGAAATATTGGTTATCAGCCGAAGCGACGGCACAGCCGTTAGTTTCGCAGAACATGGGATCACAAGAAAGAGCGCTCGAACGAACAGAAGAATTATACCTTTCAGAGCTCAGCGAAAGTGTAGATGCCCCTGTATGAGGCGACCAATTTCAATACTCCCAGAAAGCAAGCATCAGAGACTGTGCTTCACTTGACAGAAGGGGATTCCTCGGTTGACTCGGTGACAAGGTCCTGAGCACAAGCCTCGGGTGGAGGGTATGGCACAGCCAAAACTTCTGTCGAGGGACCATCTGTGTCGGTACATCCGGCCGGGCTTTCAGCCATCGATTGACCTAGATCTTGAGATGGAGAAATTATTGGATCACGTCCCCATAGGAATGTCGGGCGCCGAGAGCCTTGGCAATGCCAGGACAGAGCGAGGATGTGAGTGACTTGCAACCGGAAGGGGACAGGTCTCATTCGAACGGAAACAACGAAGAATATGCTCGATTCCACACTCGGCTGGCCCATCGTATCATCTCGATCCTCTCCCCGATGGATGTGTCGGGCTCGCTTCGGGCGCAGTTCCGTTAGCGAGCGCGACAGTTGACCATGTAACGGTTGAGGCAATCCAGAAGGCAATTCGTGATTCCGATGACGATCTCGAAAACGGAGGAAGCCCAGACCGAGGTGGATGCTCGTCGGCACAGCCGATGCCGAGCTCCCCTGATGTCAGACTCGCTATGAGGAGTACGCGAGAATCTACAGGCATGAGTCCCGATTCAATGACAGGGAAGCCGATGGGTGAGAACGATGACTTAAACTCTTCAATTTGATTGCAAGGTTTCCACCGACCAGATTTCTGATTGCCGAGGACTGACAGGGACAGAGCACCAGAACTTGATGAGCTCGTAATGCAGTGCGAAAGAGACGATTTAGCACAGTATCGGGACGTCGATTTCATCAATAGGGGTTCGAGAACACGAGAACAACGCACGCCTACTTCTATCAGCGCACGGGGGGCGTTCCAGCAAGGCCCCCAGAGCCGGACGTTCCAGTTCTACTGGCTCCAACGCCCTTGGATCACCACGGCTGTCGCCGAATAGACCACCAGCAGGTTCTCGACGCGGGAAGGTCGCTGGGGAGCCAGGCCCACATGCCCGGCTCAGGCGGGGAATCGACGCCCAGGGGGGGCGCGCAAGCCGGGGGGGGGGGTGATGTCGAAGGCCAGTGTGTTCACGATGTTCGAATGTGCGTCCTAAGTGTAGTCTAGCGTGGCTTTGCGAGGAATGCATTGCGATTGAAGAGCGCAATTGTCAGCGTGTCGCCATTTCTAGAGTGGGCGGGAAGAAATAGACAGGACCGAGAGCAGTTGAGGGCTACGGGTGCGCAAATTCAACAGATCGTCCTTGGGGCGCAAGTAGATGAGAAGGCCGCTGAAGAGGCGAATAGCACGCTTGCAGTTTCCGAGGCAGAGAGGCAGGCAATGGCGCAAAATGTGGTATATGAGAAAACAGACATTGCGGAAAATGCGCAGAAACGGATGCAGCATGTCGAAGCCGCTGTAGCAGGAGTTTCAGACGCAGCCCAGCGGCGCTGTGCCCAAGAGGAGAATGAATGATTGAGAATCCAGAGTATAGCCGAGCAACTGGTGTCAGGCATGGCTGATGCAGCGAGGATTGAAGGAGAGACAGGGCCCCAAGAACAGGCAGCACGAGAAAATCAGTTGCTAGACTCGAGGCCGAAAGAGTAAAATATGAAGCCCTGCGAGCCCTTCGAGAACAAGAACAAAAGGCCCAGGTGATCAGAGATGAGCACTAGAAGAGCGCGGCCGGTGCCTGAGATCGTC